TTTCACAACAAAAACTTTATACTCTTTCACTAATAACCTCCCACGCCCCCACCCCTGCCCCTGGCAACCACAATTCTACTCTCTGCTTCTATCAGTTTGATGTTCTTAGATTGCACGTGTAAGTACGATCATGCAGTATTTGTCTTTCTGTGTCTGAATCCTTTCATCAGCATTATGTCCTCCATGTCAACCCATGCTGTCTTAAATGGCAGGATTTCCTTATTTAAAAAAAAATTTTAACGTTTATTTATTTTCACGAGAGAGACAGAGTGTGAGTGGGAAAGGGGCAGAAAGAGAGGGAGACAGAGAATCCAAAGCAGGCTCCAGGCCCTGAGCTGTCAGCACAGAGCCTGACACGGGGCTGGAACTCCCAGGCAGTGAGATCATGCCCTGAGCGGAAGTTGGACGCTTAACCTACTGAGCCCCTCTGGGTGCCCCTGGATTTCCTTATTTTTTATGGCTGAATAATCTTCAGTTGTATGGCTATACCACATTTTCTTTATCCATTCATCCATCAATGGATACAGGTTGGCTCCGTGTCTTGGCCATTGTGAATAATGTTGCAGCAAATATGGGAGTCTAGATATGTCTTCAAGATCCTGATTTCAATTACTTAGATATATATCTAAAAGTAGGGCTACTGGTGATATGGTAGTTCTATTTTTAATTGTCTGAGGAATTTGCATACAGTTTTCTGCAAAGGCTGTATCTTTTATATTCCTACAACGTATGGTACAAGGGTATGAGGGTTCCCTTTTCTCAGCATCCTGGCCAACACTTACTATCTTTTGTGTTTTTAGTCATAGCCATCCTAACTGGTGTGAGTTGATATCTCATTATGGTTTTGATTTGTATTTTCCTGATAATCATTGATGTTGAGTTATCTTTTCCTATAACTGTTGGCCATTTGCATGTCTTCTTTGAAGAAGTGCTGTGACTTTTCAATATTTCTGATCAAGTTAATGGACAACATGTTATATGACTCTGGACTCTGTCATCCATGTTGCTAAAAATGTACATATTCAAATTGGCCATCACCTTTTCTGTGCGATTTTCTCTTTGGGAAAATGGCCACTGTCCTTAAGCGTGCGGTGGCTTCTACTTGAGCGTGCGCAGTACTTCAGAGTTCTCGGGAAACATCGATACTGTTTTATAGCCTCTCATGATTTTATAGTTATTGCACTGAATAGACACCTTGTTTTCTAGGCCATGCAGCCCCCTGGCATTTGTCATATTAAAAGCCCGTGGCCACCCCACCCTAGAAGACCCAGTTTTGTGTTCCAAGTCCAGATTCCCCAGCGATGATCCAATATTTGTTCTCTCTTCTAAAAAGTTTCTTAAATACCATTTGTATACCTCTGCTTGATTCCCTGTCCTACTTTAGCCATTTTATTTGGGATTCATGTATCTAACTCACCACTGTGTTTTAAATGGTTGTGGACACCAGTCTCTTTCTCTCTCTTTTCCTCCTTTTTGCTCTTAACCTTCTGCACACCCCAGTCTAACCCTCATCCAATCCTACCTTTGAGCTGTTTACAAGCTCATGTGTCTGAAACTGCTCAGAGATCTGTTTATACACACACACACACACACACACACACGCACACCCATATATATGTACAGAAATCTCTTTTTTCCCCTATAAGGAAAACAAATTCATCAGTTAACACATTCAAGTTGCAACAACGTTTGTGTTTTTTTTTTAAGTGGCCACATTTCCCAGAAGATAAATTGCTTGATAACAGTAAGAATGACGGAACCGATGTAGCATCAAAACAGCAACGATGGTAGAGTAATATCAGCCCTGCCTACCCAGTTCCAGGAGCTTAGCATCCGCTAGAATCTGCTGGTGCTCCTTTATCCTGGTCTTCTGAGGCAGGGCGAGAGGAACAAAGCCATTTTATCATAACCTCCTTTTAGCAGCCTTTCCGTACAGGGCTACCTGCATCCCTTATCCACCTAAATCTGGGATCATTCGGGCTGCATGCGAGTAAATATCATGGCTCTTGCCCTGTTACCCATGTGCACCTACTTGTCTCTCTGCTTGGGGTAGCAGGGGTGGGGGAGAGGGGGCCAGGGGAGCTGATGCAGGCAGGGTCTTCTGCTCTATGTCCTCAAGGCCCAAGCGGGACCCAGGACATGTGAGGCCTCGATACACCTAAGGACACCAGAAGGGGGCGGGCTGAGCTTTGCCCGCAGACAGCCCCGCTGTCTGGCTTTAAGCAATATATTTAACCTCTCCAATCCTAGTTTTCCTGTCCATAAAATGGGAAAATGAAACCTACCTCTTAAGGTCCCTCATAGGATGGAGTTGTGGAATTCAGCTCCTGGTCCCTCCTCTGAGAGGTTATCCCTGACCAGTCTGCTTAAAACAACAGCCCCCTGGACCCTCTTACTCTGCTGTTTCCTTCCTAACACCCCCTCCACTGAACTTCAGATGTATTCATTTGTTTGCTCTTTCTTTCTCCTTGCAATCGTAAAGCTAACAGAAGTTTTGTCCACATCGGTCGACTGTCATACCCCAAGTGTGTGGCAGATAGTAATACCAGATAAATCTGCGTATGATTGAAGTCTGCAACATGATGGGAGCTGGGTGGATGGATGGATGGATGGATGGATAGATGGACGGACGGACCAATAGACAGATTGGTAGGCAGGATGGAAGGAAAGAACAAAGGACATAGCCAGACAGCCAAGTTGTAAGTAGATAGGGTCCACGCATATATACAAACAACCACTAAGTTGTTGATTTTTTAGATGCCAGTTTTTCCAAACTACTTTGATTAATTAACTCCAGGTATTTTGGTCAATGTACCACCGAACAGGATTAATTTAAGTACAAAGTATGGGCTCAACCCTGAGGCTCATCCTTACCATCCTCCCACCTCCAGTAAGTAGATGAAAATAAGAAGGAAGAGTGTGGAAAGATGGAAGGCAGAAGCTGAGTATGTCAGTGGTGTGATCATGCTTGAGCAGAAATGGGCATCTAGGTGCCATAAGAGGAACGTGATGTGGTTAAGTGTCTAACTCTTGATTTCAGCTCAGGTCATGATCTCCCCATTCAATAGATCGAGCCCCGTGTCAGACTCTGAAATGCTTGAGATCCTCGCTCTCTCCCTCTCTTCTGCCCTTCCCTCACTTTCCCTCTCGCTCAAAGTAAAGAAACTTAGAAAAGGAAAAGAAAAAGAAACATGATGCCGCTGAGCCAGAGACCTCACCGTGTTCCATGAGGGAGAATTGTGTCCAGTTAGGGATAACGCCCTTCAAAGGGAGTTTGGAGAGGCCACTTAACATGGTTTTTGAAAAACAGAGAATGGGAAGCTGAGAGTTTCCTCAGGTAGCTTCCTGTGGGGGTCAGTGGCTGAACCCAGTGCTGGTCCTGGCTGTTGCAAGGATCTGTTGTTTTAGTGGGGGGTTTTTCTTTGTTTTGTTTTGTTTTAAATTTCTTTTTATTTTTTTTAATTTTTTAATGTTTGTTTATTTTTGAAAGCAGGGGAGGGACAGAGAGAGAGGGAGACACAGAATCCAAAGCAGCCTTCTGAGCTGTCAGCACAGAGCCTGTTGTGGGACCCGAACTCACAAATAGTGAGATCATGACCTGAGCTCAAGTCAGACACTCAACCAACTGAGCCGCCCAGGTGCCCCTGTTTTGTTTTGTTTTAATAAGATGATAACCATGTCTACTCTTGGCTAATGAAGAGGAACCAGGTACAGGTTAAAGAGACATTTTTAGGGGCATCTGGGTGGCTCAGTCAGTTAAGCATCCAACTCTTGGTTTTGGCTCAGGTCATGTTCTCATAGTTTCATGGGTCAACTCCTGCATCAGGCTCTGCACTGACAGCATGGAGCCTGCTTGAGATTCTCTCTCTCCCTCTCTCTGCCCCTCCCCTACTCACGCTATCCCTGTTTCTCTCAAAATAAATTATATAAATAAATAAATTTTTAAAAATTAAAGAGACATCTTTAGAAATAAGAACATCTTCTGCCCCCTTGCCTGTTGTTAGATTGGCATCTTAGTCAGTTGTGATCTCGGAAAGCGAATGGAGCTTCCGCAGAGTTGGTGCAGAGAAGGGTGAGGGACGGAGCTGGGTTGTGGGAAGCGAGCCTCCCGGCAGTTGGAAGTGGTGTCAGAAGGAGCACCTGGACCCCAGCAGAAGAGAGAAGGTAGACCAAGGTCACACCACAAGGCACAGCGTATTCTGGACAGCATGGGCCATTTTCTTGAATTTCCCATATTGTCTTAAACAGGTGTCACTGCCCATCAGCTCTGAGAGTCCTCCAAAGCTTTGGCAATGCAGACCCCAAAGTATACATTAGCTCTTTCCCTGGACAAAAGATGTGCTAACGATGGTTGTGTCCTGAGCCCTCTGGCCCCCACGTGCCTCTCTACTGGGCACCATCATTCTGTGCATTCTCTTTCTGTGTCCACTACCTCTGAGAGCTCTCTGCCTTGCTAGTATAGACACTAACTGAAGTTAGTACTGGCTGGTACTTAAAATGTTTGTACGATCTCCATGTTGTTCGTTCTGTTCTCTCTCTCTCTCTCTCTCTCTCTCTCTCTCTCTCTCCCCATGTGGGTCATCCTTGTCCCTTGGAGCCTGCCCAGGCTTGCACTTTCTCACAGGAATTGGGTGGGATGCTATTAAAAAGAGCAAGCTCCTTTTCCCTACAGCCAGCCCACCGCCTCCTTTCTGGGCTGGATCAGGTCCAGACCGATGGCCAGGCCTTCTCTTCTGACTGGCCGCACAAGCCATGGGTCCAGGGAGCAGCCTTAAGGAAGATTGAGCCATGAAACACGGGCCTCGCTATGGGTGGAGCCAGGAGAAGATGCTGACTGACGTGCACTGACTGGCTCCTATCAGGAGTCAGCCAGGGCTCCAGGCATGATTTCTCTGAACACGGGACACATTTACCCTTCCTCCCAAGAGCCCCGTGCTGTTCAAGGACAAATATGGAGAACACTCACAGGAGGTAAAAGTGCTGCTTTGCTTCTATTTCAGGTGCTAAGCCGGCCCCTGGGATCTGCTTTGAGAGAGTCAACTCCGCAGGTGACCCTTATGGCAACTGTGGCAAAGACTTCAAGAGTTCCTTTGCCAAGTGCGAGATGAGGTACGGAATCTGTGGCCGGATGGACCACTTTGAACTTCCTCCATCCTCAAGGGCTGGTCACAAACTTCCCCTCTTTGGGGACTGTCTATTCTCGCCCTTCCAGAGATGCTAAATGCGGGAAGATCCAGTGTCAAGGAGGTGCCAGCCGGCCCGTCATTGGTACCAATGCCGTTTCCATAGAAACAAATATCCCACTGCAGGAAGGAGGGCGGATTCTGTGCCGTGGGACCCATGTATACTTGGGCGACGACATGCCGGACCCGGGGCTCGTGCTCACGGGCACAAAGTGTGCAGATGGAAAGGTAAGACACCAGGATTCTCTTGCATCATGAACGTAAGTCTAGAAGGGGGCCCAGCTGAGAACCGTCTTATCCAAGGACCAACTTAGGAGATCAGTTTGTTTTCCTAAATCCACTCCTTCCTACAGCTTTGTCTCCGGCATCCAGTTCTTTGCATCTAGAAGGAAACGTTAATAAATCCTGGATCCTGGCACAGCCATGGAGCTGCGAATTTGGGAAAAAGCAAGCTTGGCTTCTCAGCCTTTAAGTGTCAAGAAGTCATTTCTGCATTTGAGGTGCCACGAGTCTTTCCAGCCAGGAAATTACTTTGGAAAGGAGATGCAGTAGCATATTATGTTGTTTTTGGAAACGTGATCTCGGTTTCTGGCACAGTGAGGGGATGTTTGTTGTTCTCACCTGGGCGGAACGGGAAGTCACACGTATTTTCAGAGACCCCCATAGAGAGAACAGGAGAGGGGAAGAGATAGGATCAGCTTGGAGCTGACGGGAGTTCTTTCGGAGACCAGGGGGAAAGTAGACTGAGATATTTGGAGGGTTAGAAAATAAAGTAAAAAATGGAAAAAAATGAAATTAAGATTTTAACATTCTGCCACGTTGATTTTTCTCACCAAACCTTCTAATCAGGCTAAATGAAAGCAAGTTAATAGAGCTTGGTAGGAAAGAAGGCTAATCAACCCCCATGTGTTTTGTTTTTTTTTTTTTTGATCCCATCTTCAAAATGATGATGAAATAAACTCACTAACACAGAGGCCACAGAGTAGAATAGAAAGATAGGGATTCGGCCCCTTGAGCAGTGTCCCCAAGGCAAGAATTCTCTACCCTCATCCCCTTCCCACCATCTACTCTGACCCCTAAGTGCTTCATCACTAAGAAAATGGGATGACCCAGGAAACACGAGATACATTCCAGGGTCTCCTTAACCACACACGGTAGCTTCTATTCTGGCCTTGACACTGGAATGACATTGATTTTTGAAACTGTAGTCTCAACAGCCAGAGCCAGGTGCACCTGAACCCTGAAATTCCAAGGACTCAACTTATCAATGAGTGTGTTTCTCCCCGTGCAAGGATAAACGTGCTTTGTTCTCCATTTCCACAGAACATTGGTTCTTCGAAAGCCATCCCTTGCCGTTGCTCATGGGTTAGGAGGAGAGCAGCGCCCAAACACTGGGATTCTGACCGGGGTCCTGCTGTGTCCTTTGTAACCTCAGACAGTTTCTGGTCTCGGCTGGAATGTGACAGTCCCCTTGGCCAAGATTCCCACCGGCCCTTGGAACTGCTTAAAGCTGGCAATTTTGTCCAAGGGTGTCACCTGAGTGCCTTCTGTAAGCTGTTGGGGTCAGATGGTGAACTTCCCGTTGGAAGGTTCTGCTTGATTAAAAATGCTTCTGGAATCTAAAACTTAGACTTCTCTTCCTCTGACTCCACTAATTTGTAACATCTTATGGGAGATAAAGGGCCTGATCCTTTGAGTCTGGTGTATATTACGCACCTTTAAAATGAGACTAAACTCCTGCAACCAACCCAGTACCATTCAGCAAATTACTGCCTCTGCAAAGTTTGATAAACACAAGGGAACTGTCTGTTTTCCCCTGCAGAGCCTTTTGGTTGATGGTTTATGTCCTCGATGATAGTACTTGTCAGTCAGTAATTTGGAAGAGTTCCCATATTTCAATATCTCCTTTGAAAGGTCCTTGGTCCTTAGATTTCTTGGAGTCTCTGAGTCTGCAGAGGCCCTAGGTTAAGGGCTGGTGCATTTCTCCTGTCCTGTATCTCTTAATGGAAGGGGCCATTGAGGGGGAGGGGAGGCGACAGACGCAGCAATTCACATGTCTCCTTGCACGCTCTAAACAAAAATCCCAAGAAAATCAGTTATCATAGTCTCATAATTAACTGAAACCGCAGAAAAATGCCGCACTGACCTGAGTCACGTCGGCCCGAGTCCTGAAATGTGCTGCAGGCATCAGAACCCTGATGTAGAAGGTAGGTCAGAGTCCAATGGAAAGCACATCATTGTGCTGCATCCACATTCACTGAAAGAAGATAAGTCTTCCGCAAGCTTTCCTTTGCCTTCGCTTTTTAAACCACAGATGCATGCATGAGCATGTGATCGGAAAAGGGCTGAGAGATTTACCGTGTTTTTCTCCTTCTGCAGATCTGCCTCAATCGTCGATGTGAAAACATAAGTGTCTTCGGCGTTCATGAATGCGCCATGCAGTGCCACCGCAGAGGGGTGAGTGGGCTGAACTGCCTTTTATAGCCAGTCCACATTAAGCACTCAATCGTTCATTTTCAAGGACTCTGCCATCCCTATTTTGTTAACATCTAAAAAATACAGCAGTCGCCTCCATATCTTCTTCGAAAGACATTAATTTTCTTTGACCTTTACATAAGCATAAGAAATGTAACTTTTATTTAACAAAGAGAATCCGACTGAACAGTAATTATCTTTTAAGTGAACATCCTGTGATTTTTTTGAAAAGGACTTTGTCATCTTCAAAGTGACTTTAAAACTAACCTTCCTTCATGAAGGATTTTGCTTTAACACTTCCCACAGAACCGTCCCCCTTTCAACCGAGATTCAGAATGTATCTGAACTGAAATACTTCCAGGAGGAATGAAAACAAAGAAGACAGAGCATACCGACCACATGTTCTTGAAATCACGTACAGTGTGCATTTCAACTCAAGAAAGCTGTTAGTGCAGTTCAGAGAATTTTTTTTTTTAGGAGGGAAGAGGACTCTAATTGTTTCAAACATAATTTATTTTTTCCTGATGGGCTTAATTATTTCCAAAGGAATCCTATTAATCTTGATTAGCCATGCCAGTGGTTCATTTGTTTGTCTGAAACCTTTTCTGCAGAAATCCTGCTCCCGATTCTATTTTTAAACCTTGCAGACACTTGCCAATGAGTCTAACACAGAATTATGGGGGTTTTCATGAAATTACTCTTGAGCCGTAACCATGAAGGATTGTGGTGCCATCTCAGATGGGTTTGCTGACTGTCCGTATAAAAGGAAATCCTTTTCTGCCCTCGTGGGATCGTAGATTTCTTTCTAATGGCGGTACAGCCTTATCTTACTCTTAAAGAAGCCCAGACTCAAGTGACAGTAGTGCATCTCCAAGGTTACATGACCAGTTAGTAGTAATGCCAGGGTGGGGTCCCTGGACCCCTCGCTTTGTGACAGCCCTGGGTTCCCCTCCATATGGAGAGGAAAGGCCCATATTTTCTGGGTAGGTGGAGCAGCCGCCATGACTCGGTGACAAGTAACATGACTACAGTCCTTCCCCCTAGTGAGGCCAGGCTCACCAGCGGTGCCTCCCAGCAGGGTGCCCGGGCTGCAGTCTCTCTGCTGCCCGCTGCCAACAGGGTACCTGAGTCTGGTTTGAATTGGGAGACCATGCAAAACGGTGTGGCCAGGACGGCGCCTGAATCCTGGTGGGCGGTACGTCAGCAGCAGCATCGCTGAGAAACAGGTTAGAGTCAGTAATCAGTGCTCGGACGAGACTCAGTAATCAGTGCTCAGACTCAGCACAGGCAAGCTACTCAGTAACTAATTCTACGGGGCTTCAGCTTAATAGGAATATACTTTCCAACTTGTCACAGGTTATCTTGACTGTTGGCCTTCTTTTAAGCAATTGGGGCAGATGGTTGATTCATAAAAAAAAAAAAAAATCAGTGAAAAGCAGAGAAACATCACAAATAAGACCTACACTCCAAACATTTTACTTTTGCCTAAAATATTGAAGTATGTATTTGGCCCCTCCAGCAATATTTTGATGCAGGACGGAGGCTGCGGGGCGTGTCCACACTGACTTCCTCCTATAAACCACCCAAAGCGCATCATCTGTGAAGTATAGTCTGTTTCCCTAAGTGGATGAGAAACTCGGACCCTCAGAAACAGTCTGAGCACAGAGTCCTTCCCGGCCCGTGTAGCAATTCCCAATCATTCCCAGTTATCCCCCCGACTCCAAATTGGTCAGAAATTCTTTTTAGCGACTTGCCTGTATCCCGTGTTCCAAGGCCGGCAATCCAATTTTCTAGAAATAACATCCTCTTGGGTTCGTTCCCCTCTTCCACTGGGCCATGCAGTCGCTCGGTGAGTTCATGTGTAATAGCAGCAAGTCTAACGGCCAGGACGGGTAGGGGACCGGCCTCCATCGGTCACCCTTGCTAACCCAGTGAGCCGGGGCCGGCCCCTCCCGGAGTGCTCTGGTCTCCAAGTTAGGCTACTCGTTCAGGCCCCTCCGACCCAGAGCAAAGCCCACCCTCCTGCTTTCTCGGGCATCCCTTTTCCGACGGTGAGGGCCACCCTCTCATGTCACGAGGATGCCAGCTTTTGGTAGACTGTGTCCAGCGTTCATTCAGGGCCGGGCACCAAAGAGGGGCTGCTGGGGGACCGCAAGAGGGAGGGAGGTGGGCGTTTCGGGCACAAGATGTCGGGACAGGCCACCAGCCTCTCAGAGCCTCCCGTCTGAAGGAAGCGGGGCTGTGCCCAGAGGTGGTCAGGCCCGCAGGGCCCAAGAGCTCAGATCCCGCACCCCTGAAGCAGGGTCACGCCTCACCACAGAGAGGAGGGGTGCCGGATTGCAAACGCGGGACCCGACAGTTGACTGAGAAGGAGAAGGAAAGAGGTGGGAGGTCGTGGATGAACCCCAGGAATCTCCATCAGGCCCCTAACAGGCAGATCGTGTTTCATTTGCAGCCTCGGGCTCTGGTCTCACCCGCTCTGTGCTGTATTTGGGGTTTATGCTCGCACTGGCTGTGTCAGTGCTGATGGGGACTCTGACCACAGGGCCTTTGCTTCGGTGCAGCAGCCAGTTAGGGCTCAGAGACTTACGGCCACCCTGCACGGAGCGTGGGCCTTAACGCTGCTTCCCCCTCGCTGCCCTCCTCCCCCGCTGCCCGGACAGGTGTGCAACAACAGGAAGAACTGCCACTGCGAGGCCCACTGGGCGCCTCCCTTCTGTGACAAGTTTGGCTTCGGGGGAAGCACGGACAGCGGCCCCATCCGGCAGGCAGGTGAGTGGGGCCAGGGCGTCCCGGGGGGTGGGCGCTGAGCCAGTGGAGGGGGGAGGGCAGTGGGAAGCCAGGTGGGGATGAAAGAACTTGTGTGCCTGTCGGGCCGGCCTCTGCATACAGGGGCCGAGAGGAGTGAAGCCCCTTGAAATTCCTACCAGAAAGATGCCTCCTCTGCATCAGGCTGACAGTCCCTGCAGCAGCAAAGCGCCAGCTTCTGTTTACTGAGCAGCGGCTGGGGGGCAGGTCCCGGCGCCGGGCCTTGTACCTGCATGATCTCTTCGACTCCCTGCCTCACTCTGAAGGTGGAGATCACTTAAAGGACTTGAGACTCAGTAACCTTGGGAGTTCAGTAACCTACCCAACGTCACACAGCTAAGATGGAGACCATGTCCGTCTCCCCCACAAAAAGCTCCTCATCGCAGCTGTGCTCGACCCCCCCCCATTTCCTTTCTCCCCGGGTGACCTTGAGAAATGGCCTCCTGGGAACTGCCGCTTTCTCCGAGTGCCTGTCAGGCAGCGAAGAGGCAGGTCTGGACGATGTCCTTTGTGACAAGAAAGGGACCAGGGGCTCAGAGGGCCAGCACCCACCGAGCCCACTTGTGCTGACACCTCAGGGCCACCTGAGCCCCAGGACCCCCCGGATGGTGGCTGATGCCGCTACGGAGGCCGTCACGTGTCCGCAAGTCCTGCCGTGACCAGCATTGGCATCCCCGCCATCTCCAAGACAACAGACACAACGCGGCTCCACGGTCCGACCGACCGCGAGCTACCCAGCGGCCACAGCTGTGGGGACCGTGTGGCGAGGAGGGGCCGCGAGGCCCTGGTCATCCTTCTGCTTTGACGCAGATGTGTCTCAGGCCTACAGAAAGGCCCAGAAAGCCTCGCCCTCTAGCGAGCATCCCTTCCAGGGGCGGGAAGACAGGGCCCCACGCCACAGCCCCGTCTCCGCCGCACCTCTCCACCGTGACCGCGGCGCGCTTGCTGCACTGAGTTAATATTCTCATGTGGTGTTAACGTGTGTTGTGCAAAACCAGCAGGGGTCTAGTCTTCTCAGCGGACGGGGCTCTGCCCCCCTGCCCCCTGCAGCAAGTCAGCCAGATGGCGCCCGGAAGGGGTGGGAGAGGCTCGGCCAGTGTGCTCGGGCCTGTTTTTCAAGTGAACACACACAACCGTGCTCTCGGGTCTGGGGGTTCTTCACAAAGGCTGGGGAAGCCCCAGCCGCCAGCTCTTCCCTGTTGCAAGTAGGCATATTTACAGCAATGAAAACAAGCAGAGCAGTGAGTCCCCCCTCTACGGCCGTCACTTCATAAAAGTGCCTTTGAACACCCGGCGAAGAGGCAGGTGCAGGGCGCCGTGTCCCAGGCTCCGTCCCCACGGTCCGCCAGCATGGCTGTGGTTCCGTGTTCACGAGGCGAGTGCTTCCAGGGCACGTGCCATGCACCAGCCACTCTTTGGGTCCCACAAAGACGTGGCAGGTGCCACGATGAGCAGGGTGACCGTGGGACCCCAGGCTGACGTGGGGAGACGCAGGGGCCGGGCGCACAGAACACGGTGCTTGCACTGGGTGAGGGGCCCAGCGGACCCCACTTTGCTGGCTCGAGCAGCTCATGGGAGTCAGTGCCACGTGTGGAGACAGGCGGCCGGCCCGGGGTTGGGGGCAGCGGGGAGGGGGCGTTAAGTTCAGTTTGGAGGCCTGAGAAATATTTGGTTGGATAAATCGATCAGCGTAAGACATGTGGATTGATTGTGAGGAGCTAGAAATTGTGGTTCAGGACTCTGGCTACTCGCTTTGTTCCCCCCAAGCTTTGTTAAGAGACAGCAGAACTGCAGCCAGAGCCCCCCCCCACCCCCCGCCCCCTCCCCGGTGACCCCCGGGTCCCCGGCTGAAAAGAACATTTGGGTCAGGAAACCCAAAACAGTGCTTTTCCAGTGACACTAACAAGGGCATCAGGACTGTCCGAGACACATCCCGATAGGACTTGTCAATGGAGACAAAGTCCAGAAACATAGAGGGTGTGAGGCGTTCTCTCCGAGAGTGGGGGCCCTGCCGCCCCGGCCGACGGCCTGCTGAGCATCCTGGCGGGCAGCAGGGTGGCGACGTCCCCTGCGCAGCCATCGCCAGCAGCCTGAGGGGACGGCGGCCAGCTGCGGGAACCACACCCGACTGTCGCTGGTGGGGACACAGGACTCTCAAGGAGTCCACAGAGCAGCGGCGCCGCAGGTAAAGCCGCCCCCCGTCCCGGCAGCCCCCCTGACGGCCGCTGCGCCCAGACACCAGCCTCAAGGTCTGACTTCTCCTTCTTTTCCGCCCCCTCGAGGGGTCGCGGTGACTTTGTACTGACCAAAACGGGAGCAAACCACAGAAAGGAAGATGTTTCCTTAGAGAAAAAAGCACCCTCCAGGTAGAGAGGTTTGCCTCCAAAGGCTGTATTTTGAGGCTCTAACAACATAACAAACAAAAATCTAAGAAAAACCAAACCCGTGGGCATTTCCTTTTAGCTAGGAGTTTTGATGAGGTTTGTTTTTTCTTATTTGTTTATTTATTTGAGAGATTTTAAAAGACAGCGAGAGAGAGGGACAGAGGATCTAAAGCGGGCTCTGCGCTGTCAGCAGCGAGCTTGATGCGGGGCTGAAACGCACAAACGGTGAGATCATGACCTGAGCTGAAGTCGGACGCTTAACCCACTGAGCCGCCCAGGCGCCCCTTGTTTTCACCTTCTATTTTGATAATGTCCTGAAACAAAGTCTCGATATCAAAAAAGAAAAACAAGGAAACAAAACAAAAACAGACTAGAGAATGAGAGCAGAAGAGAGGCCGGAGGGGCATATTTGTGATGGGGGCTGGGAAGGTCATAGTTGCCCACTCCCTGCCCGCCCCGTGGCCACCATCCCTGCCGGGGGCGGGAGGGCCTGTGTGGTCAGGGCTGCGCTCCCACCTGCCATACTAGGCTCCTGTTGTCAGAAATGAACGACGGCAACACGGACAGATCCTTGAGTGTGACCTTTGAAGTAAGACTAATTTATCAGGACATCATTCAGGGATTTACTCACTCTGATGCTCTTCCTTCCTTCAAAGCTCGCATTGCCGTAAATGTCACCATCTGATACTTCCTGTATTTCATTCTCCCTGCCCTCTTTCCCTGAGTGAAATGCATTTTGTTTCAGATAACCAAGGTTTAACTATAGGAATCCTGGTGACCATCCTGTGTCTTCTCGCTGCTGGATTTGTCGTTTATCTGAAAAGGAAGACGTTGATACGTCTGCTGTTTACAGATAAAAAAACCACCATTGAAAAGCTAAGGTATCTTGGCTTTGGGTCCTCTTTTCCTGAAATGGCATTTGAAAGAATGTGCAACCAAACAGCTTTGCACTTTGTTTTCCTTAGCAAAGAAGAAGTCAGATGTTTAGATAATAAAACTGTTGTTTGGGATTTCTTAAAATCTGCCAGACCAGCCACAGAGATTTCCTTTGCCTTCAAACGATTTGCTGCTTATCATATAAATAAGCGGGGTGTTAATGAGTCCCACTGATATATTGTTTCCCGCCCTTACATCAGTAATTTTTACAAGACGTGGGATGTTGAAATATTTTCATCAGATGGGGTAGCGTTTGATCCAAATATATTCAAAGGCATTATTGCTGAAATGCCAGCCTTCTAGAAAATGTCTCCCAGGTGTTGCAAAGCCATGTATGAGCGGATTGCAAGAACTTATTTAACAGAGTAGTGGCTTTGGGGGAGTGGGAGGGGGATCGCGATTTTTTTAATCCTGTAAGAATGTTCACCATTTCCTTTGCATGTCTCCCACAACTGAGTTAAAATAAGTAAGTTTTTTTTGAGATTGCAAACCAAACAGAAAAACAGTTAAGTCAACCCCGGGGGGTGGGGGGGAGAGAGATGGGGGAGCGGAGAATGCGCTTGTTTACGTTTAACGGGATTGCTCACAGGTGGGTGCGCCCTTCTCGGCCGTCGCGAGGCTCAAACCCCGGTCAGGCTCACCTCAGCCACCTCAGCAAAGGCCTGATAAGGAAGCCACCACATTCCAATATGTCAAAGGTAAGTTGTAAACAAATGTGAGAGGGCCGTGTGCGCGTTGAGACACCTGCATCTCAATGTCTTTCAACAAGAGCTTCAGTGGGACTCGATCCCGGAGATCTATAGATAGATCTGTAGCAGGAATAGCTTGCTGACACGCAGAGTCCGCACACTGAGTGCAACAAAAGCTTGGGTGGGGGGGATGGTCAAGGGCCAGAAGGAGGCCCTCTGTGTCCCGGGGATGCCCCACTAGATCCTTTAGGGGCGGGTCCCCCGTGTGATGTGATGTGGGCCACATTGCGAGCCACAGTCTGCCCAGTCACCCAGACACGCCCACTGCGTCTGCCTGCCAGCCACATTCCCAGCTCTGGGTCCTCTCCCTGTTGTTTTAGATGCCACTGGTGCGGTTTGGGTGAACTTCTTTGGCCCTGTACCTGCCGGGGCATCTCCAGGACTTCTACTGAGCCATGGATGGGCCTATTTTGCTCCATCCCTGAGCTGTATGGGCACCCTGTCTACCCTCTGCTTTCAAAGAGCCGGATCCTTAACCCAAAGTACCTGCGGGCTCCCTCATGGCTCTGAACTGCCCTGCTCCCTCACGAATTATTCACTCCAATATTTAGTTTTCCCATCAAGGGTTTCCGGTGTATCCACGAGAATTCTTGAAGATGGGACTCATTCAACAAGGGTCCAAATCACGGCAGTGAACAGTGCTGATGTCAAGAGATGACCAATGATTTTAAAAATTAATGTCACGCATTTAGTAAGCCATAAACTCTCTTATCTCCTGTGTCTTACCTGATCTGAAAGCATGGAGGATTGGGCTCCTAAGAGGAGACTGTCAGTCCTATTAAGCTTTACCACCTCTCAGCCCCAAAAGTGGGACTTGAGCAAGAACAGCTAGCTTTACCTGCGAGAGCCAAAAACAGCGGCTTAATGTTGAGAAGCCAAAAATGGGAAATGACCCAAATTTCCATCAACAGGTACAAGGGTAAACAAACTTTGGCGTACTTACACGGTGGAATGCTATTCAGCATAAGAAAGAATGAACTATTAATATACACAACATGAATCTCAAGATAACTATGCCAAGGAAAAGAAGCCTGGCAAAGAGTACATACCCTCTACCTCCATTTGTATGAAATCCTAGAAAATGAAAACTATTGTATAATGACAGAAAGCAGATCAATAGTTGCAAGGGAGGAGAGCAGGGGAAGGGTGACGGTGGATATACGCTCATGATCTCGCGTATCGTGATGTTTTCATTGGTGTGGACGCATGTCAGTACTTCCCACGTTGTCCAGTCTCAGTATGTGCCATGAGTCATATGTCCATGGATCCCTAAGAAAGCCGTTGTTAGAAAGAGAGGAAGGGAAACGAGGCAGAGGCCAGGGGCACACAGCCCATGCTGCATCTCCTTGGTTTTGCCCTAAAAGCAGGGGCCTCGTGTACAATGTGATCCTCCAGGTGCGGGCCCCTCACCTCAGCTTCCAGAAGCTTCCATCCTCCTTGTGGGGGGCTTCCTCAGTTCTCTCTGAGCTTTGAGGGCATCACCTTATGCCTCACTGCACAACTCCTTCCTTGTTTCCATAAGCTGTGGTGTGTGTCCTCAAACTCGTTGGCCCTTCCTCCCTTCCTCACGTGCCTTGTGCCTTATTTGTTAATGAATTAAGCCACATTTTAACATTCATGCGGAAATTGATCCCGCTAGTCCACACTGGGGAGGGAGGGGTGCTTCTGCTCCACGTGTGAAGTTTAAACAAGAGATGAGAGCCTCCCTCTCATGGAACGGCACCGCCGGCCCCTTCGGCTACAGCAGACCCGTCAGCACCCGTCTCCTAAGGGTCCGAGACCCCTGACACCATGCCTTTTGTTCCGCCCTGCAGGACACCACCAGGAGGTGGCCACAGTGTCAGAATCTTGACATCAGCGGGCCCCTCAGGGCCCTCGACGCCCCTCGGCCCAGTTCGCCTCAGCGAGTGCTCCCGCCCCTCCAAAAGGCTCCCCGTGCTCCCCTCGTCCCCGCCAGACCCCTGCCGGCCAACCCTGCTCTTCGGCAGGCCCAGGTACGCCTTCCGCCGCTACCGTGATGGATGCCATTCAAATCCAGACCCTGCCACTTGTCAATGTCTAGATGCTCAACTTGCCGGGGCCTTGATAAAACAGAGATAATTCGGCTCCTCAGACGGTGAAGGAGATCAAGCACTTAGTACAGTGCTTGACATACAGTCACGATGCAGCACGTGCTCGCTTCCTCAGGAATCGTTTTCAGAATAGTGAGGGTCCCCAGGCAACTTCCCACTACATGGTGACACTTTGGAGCATGGCGGGGCCGCTGGTGATAGTGAGGCCTGGACAATTAAATGGAGATGGAGTATTATCACTTTAGGAATATTAATGGGCATACTTTCTTATCATTTTTCATTTTCTTTTTTGTTTCAAGTTTATTCATTTAGAGGGAGAGGAGTGGGAGAGCATGAGCAGGGAAGGGACAGAGAGGAGGGGAGAGAGAATCCCAAGCAGGCTCTGCATGGACAGCACAGGGCTCGAGCTCATGAACCATGAGATCATGACCTAAGCCGAAATCAAGAGTCAGTCATTTAACCTGCTGAGTCGCCCAGGTGCCCCCCATTTTTCATTTTCAAAACTATTTGCAAGAATTCACCCATTGAGTGTCTCCATACCAGCTGCAGTATTAGGCAGTCTATGTTGTTGATAAATGAGTTGATAAACTCATTTTTATGCTGTTTTAGAAGTAACGGTTTCTGTTTGTTATGAACGTGAATAAGACATCATCTCACAATAGGAAACTTGAGGGGGATGGGTAATAAAAACAAGCAAGTAAAAAACACAGAGAAATAATCCCTGGTAAGTTTTCACTACTATCATTGTCGTACTTCTAGCAATTTCTATACTGAAATACTATAGGTGTATTTTGACATAATTTAGATTATTCTATATGCACATTGCTTTATATACTCCTTTTTGCCTTAAAATCATTCTTATTTACCATGGCATTAAAAATTCTTAGGACTGTTATTTGAACCATAGCACTATTCATATATAAAGAATACTTTTTTAAAGCACTTACCAATCAGTGGGAAAGTTCTGACGTCTCTAAGTTTTGCTGTTACAAATCGCTCTGTTGTGAAGGTCTAGACAGATAAATTTGGGAAACTTTAATTATTCCCTTAGGAGAGATTCCTAAAAGTGAAAATATTGCATTGAAAAATGCTATAACCCTTTTAAGCCTCTTAATACAGAAATTAAATATTCTTTCAGGACTACTGTGTCTATTTATGTTTCCACATTGTTACAGAGACCATGACTTTGCTAGTTCTAAGTATTACCATTTCAAAACTTTGCCAATTTGGTATTTTAAAAAATCTCTTTTTTTTCTATCTAGTGGTTCCATCACTTATTGAAAGGGAGTGTTAACATTTTCAACTATAAATATGTCTCTTCTAAGTCTATCAGATTTTCCTTCATGTATTTTGAAGCTCTGGTGTTTGTGGTACACACAGTTAGGATTGTTGTGTTTTCTTGGTGAAGGGACCCTTTTATCATTATGTCATGTCCCTCTTTAGTTCTGGTAATTATCTTTGTTCTAAAATCTACTTTATCTCATACCAATATATCCACTTCTGTTTTCTTTTGATTCGTGTTGCAAGGTTTATCTTTTCCCCAACTTTCTACTCTTAACGTACCTGTGTCATCTTATTGGAAATGAGTTTCTCAGAGACCGCATGTAGTTGGGTCATCCATTCCATCAGTCACTGCCTTTTAATAGGTGTTCTGATTATTACTTTTAATGGAATTATTGATGGTAGAATTTGTCTGCCATTTTAATATTGTTTGTTCCCTCTGATTTTTGTTTGTGCTCCACTTCCCTGAATTCCTATAGATTAGCTGAACATTTTTTATTATTCCGTGTTGGTTTATCTCTAGTTTTCTTTGAGATTTGTCTTTGTATAGCTTTTTATACACTTGCTGTAAGGCAGGGATTCTCAGCCTCAGCATTGCTAGCATCTGGGGTTGGGTACCTCTTTGTTGAGTGGGACTACCCTGTGTGTCGTAGAATGTTTGGCTGCATCTTGGTTCCCATCAACTAGATGGCAGTAGCACGTGTCGTCATATCTCCAAACATTTGCCAGATGTCCCCAGGAGGACAAAAATCACCTCACTGAAAAACTGCTGCTCTAAAGGTCATGCCATATGTGCATAATTTATCACAGTCTACTAGTATTAGCACATTATCACTGCAAGTGGTGGAATGTAGAAACGTTACCTCCTACAAGGTCTCTTTAGCCTTCTCCCTTTATCACATAGATATCTTGGGTGTTACTTTTATGTACCTTGAGAACCACTTCAGATATTGTAATTTTGCTTTCAACCATCAAGCGTAAGTTTGAAAACACAGAGTGGTCTACTACATGGGGAGCCTGAGTGGCTTTGTCAGCAAAGCATCTGGCTCTTGACTTCAGCTCAAGTCATGATCTCACAGCTCAGGAGTTCAAGCCCCAAGTCAGGCTCTGCACTAAGAGTGACTGCTTGGGATTCTCTCTCTGTGTCTCTGTCTCTGTCTCTCTTTAATAAATAAATAAATAAATAAATAAATAAATAAATAAATAATGTTTTATTTATTTCTGAGAGAGAGAGAGAGCATGAGCAGGGAAGGGTCAGAGAAAGAGGGAAACACAGAATCCAAAACAGTCTCCAGGCTCTGAGCTAGCTGTCAGCACAGAGCCCAGTGCAGGGCTTGAACCAACGAACCATAAGATCATGACCTGAGCCAAAGCTGGACACTTAACCGACTAAGCCACCCAGACACCTCTCTCTGTCTGTCTGTCTGTCTGTCTGTCTCTCTCTTCCTGTCTCTTCCCCCACCCCAAAATAAACTTTAAAAAAAAGAGTAGTCTACTACATCTACTCATATATCCACCCTTTCCCTTTTTCTTCATTCATTCCTGATATTCTGAGTTTCTTTCCATTATCATTTCCTTCCTGTCTAAAAAACTTCCTTTAGCTGTTCTGTTAAAGCAGGTCTGCTGGTCACAAGTTCTTTTGCTTTTCCTTCATCCAAAAATCTCTCTCTCACCTTTATTCCCGAAGGATATTTTCACTGGATATAGCATTCTAGGTTGCTTTTCTTTCCACATTTGAAAAACGTTGTTCCACCTCCTTCTGGCCTCTGTGGCGATGAGAAATCCACTAAAAGTTCCTCCCACAGTCCCTGTTCCAGGGAAGACATGGCCTCTTGTCATAAGCAGGATTGGAAAGCAAGGCTCTACCCCCTCCAGGAGGTGGTGCCCACTTGGGCGCAGAGGAGATGGCTGTTTGTGTGCCCGCCTAGAGCTGGAGTGAGGTCAGGTGTGCTCAGAATGTTTCTCTCTTACTGGGTCACCCTGTTCCCCCATCTTTGGACTGGAGACAGTAGGCTTGCCTTGGGCCTCTTTTTGGTCTGGTGCCATCGACATGCCCAGATTGGGAGCCTCTCTGGAGCCCAGGCCAAGACATAAAAAAAAGGCAAAGACAAGAACTCGCTATCATGTCATTCCATGAGTTCTGAGGTAGGTAGGCAGTCCGCTTACTTCTTTCCAGCTTTCAGAGCCTCCATCCGTTCCTCTGCGAATTTTCTCCAAACTTGTTTGTTATAATTTGCAGGACGTAGAGGGTATAGTGTGTTTATTCCATTGTCTCCAGACCTCATTTCTCTTTGTGTTTCTCTGATTACTGGTACACTTGAACTGCTAACCAATGGTCTGCCATTAAATTGGCTGTCAAAAAAAACAAAACAAAAAAAGCCTTGACTGGTCAGTGATTTCTCTGCCATAATAAAAAATCCCACCACGGCCAATGTCAAGCAATGAACATGAGGTCACTAAATGAGCACAGAGACCTGGCTGACATGAACGAGTACGAGCCAGCACCAACACACCGCTGCTATCAACTGTATTTGTCTGTTTCTACCTCTTGCCTATGTTTTTCTCTTTGAGAGAGTTTTTCTTCCCGATTTATAAGAGTTTATTTTCCTGTTAGGACTCTTGACCCTTTTGCAGTAATTTATTATAAACATTTCCCTAATTTATCTTTGGATTTTATTTATGATATTTTGGGTTATAAAAGGGATTCCAGCTTTGAATATTTAAACATATTCACCTTGTGGGAATTCTCCCATTTCTTTTTGCTTGAGAAGTCCCCTTCCATTTCACCACCACTCAAGATCTACCTCTGGTTTCTTCTGTTTATTTTGCTGGCTGTTGAGAGTTCTTTTACATTTGTTTTTCTAACCTATCCTGGATTTACAATGGTGGAAGGCAGTAGGCACGTCCTAAACTTTTCTGGGCGATGGGACTTAACTCAAGATCTGATGAAAGCTTTGAACCTTCAGAAAATGCACCGGTACTCAGTATTTTGTGTGCAAATTTCAGATTTCTACAGGGCCCATACACCTCTTCCCCACAGAGTCCTTTATACAGAGGCTCTTTATGTATCTTTAAGCAGCTTGCCAGTCCACCGTGTCAAACTGGGACTGCCTTTAACAGACCGTGGGATCTGAGGCCAGATATTTCCACTTGCTGGTATCCTTTTTTCCTGACAGCAGCGAATGCCTGCAGAAGTCACTCCCTCAAGATTTCCTTTAAAACAGTCCCCCCAAAAAGGCCTTCGTTCTGTTTTATGAAACTAAGGAAATGTTACCCTTTAAACATTAGGAACTGAAAAATCCACATTTTTCACTCCAGGCTGGTTGGTGTCTGTCTGGAGCTTTTCCGAGACATATGATAGAGATTAAGCTCACGCTTTCTCTCCCATCACACGTAGGGAACCGAAATTAATTCCATGCAGGTGTGGCGAATATTTGAAGGTGCCTCTTGGCAGAATGGATTGAATCCACTGACACTTTGCACTTTAGAGCCCCCGTGCCCTGCCCCATGCAACTTGACCTTAGCAGTGCCTCGTCTGTCCGAACTTACCATCCAGACATTCCGGAAGGAAAACGTTATCATAAACATAACATGTACCTCACATCGAAAGGGTTAGTTCTTTACAGAAAACATTTGATCTT